CAGAGTCAATTGATAGTGACTTATCAGGAGGTGAAGGGACTTGGAAAATCATCAAATAAAGTACAGGAGAATGGCGCTAGTGTTGATTGACTTGTTTGGAAACGCTGGATTGCCAGTACTGTATCTAACGTATAGAGTGTGACACACTGAGTGTTAGTTCTAAGTATGATAATTAATAGTACTGTATCTACAGATATGTAGTGTGACACTCCGAGTGTTAGTACTATGTATGACAATTAATAGTACTGTATCTAACGTATATAGTGTGACACACTGAGTGTTAGTTCTAAGTATGATAATTAATAGTACTGTATCTATAAATATGTAGTGTGATACTCCGAGTGTTAGTACTTAGTATGATAATTAATATTACTGTTTCTACAGATATGTAGTGTCACATTCCGAGTGTTAGTACTAAGTATGATAATTAATAGTACTGTATCTACATATATATGACGCAACATTCCGAGTGTTACATTGTAGTACTAATTAGGTGATTAATAGAATACTTCTAGAATGTTTGCGTAATAGGTTTAAATTGAAGGATGATTAAGATATAAGTAATATATTTTTATTACCAGGTGTTTTATATATTATACATACACAGAAGGTGACTTAAGAAAGGAATCATTTGAAATAAGTATGACCTGCCTGTAAGTTTTTGATAAGTAAATTTAAACGTAGTTAGTTAAGTAAGTACAATATATTTTAAAGACATACAATGATCTTATCATAAATAGGCATAAAGATGTACTGATAAGCTGATGGGCATGGAGTTTATGAGACACGGTGAAGCGGAAATGCGAATGATTTAGGCAAGGTAGTGTCATTGGGAGGGAGAAGAAGCAATTACCAGGAGTTATAAAAATATTACTGTTAAAACAGGTGATCACGGATTTACTTACAGCATAATTAATATCAATAATGGCGATCATGATCATATTAAAACGATAATCATATTAATAAAAGTGATGGTGCATTAGACAATTGTAATAACGGATAAGATTATAATAGTGATATTGATAAAAGCGATCATGGATCAGATACTGGATGAGATATTGCTCCTGTTCTTATTACCATTAAGTTCACTGTGGTCAATTTTGCACATATTCTATTGTAAATGTACATGTAGTATGTGTCTTGCACGTATCAAATATCAAATTGTATGCACCAAATTAATTAGGTTCTAGTCACTTTTATAAATAAATAATAAATGAATAAAGGAAAGATGGTTAAATATGCATTTTTCGTAATTTTTTCTTAATCGTAAAGGCGAAAACAAGTTTGTCCAGATTTTCCTTCTTTCACCTGAAGATCTAATGGCGTTTATGGAGTGCTTGTAAAACATCTGTTGTCGTTTTATATTTTAGATCTATTGAAGATGGAAAATATTGAAGGTCCTATTTCGGACTGCTTCCGTGTCAAAATATCCCTGTATTCAGTATATTGGTTATAATCAACTGTATCACAAATATGTGCAGGGAAAAAATCAAAATTTTATAATGAGAAAATTACAGTAATATAAAATGTTTGAAGTGGATCACTGAGAATTATGTATTATATATATGAATATATTTATGATGATGATGATGATGATGATGATGATGATGATGATGTTATGGGGATGGAACTAAATCCGAATAATTGAAATGACTTTATTTTTTAGATAAGAATAAATAAAAAAACATTTATGACATTGATGTATGTATGAAGATACTTTTCTAAATGACTATCTGAGACGGCGTTATCGTATTGTCACGCATAGCACATCTAAGTAAGTCAAATCACTGCAGGACTTGCCAGATGTGACAGTCAGCATGTTCAAAACACTACCTGTACACGACCAAGACATGGAAGAAGAGGCATATTAAATAGACAAGGTAACATTCTGTGGTTGCTACTATGTTGAAAACTAGCAACTTATAAAACTCTTTTTACATGATAAATAGGATCTTTCTATCAAATTAACCCATTATCAGAATATTTTAAGTACAACTTATGTAATTGCTGCAAGAATATTTGATCATAACTAAGAATCATGTGATGCTTTGTTTATATGGCCAAAATGGCTGCCGTAACATAGTGCCTCAAATAGAACTGGGAAATTAACATTATTGTTTCTTATAGAAAGAAATATTGAGAAAACCAAGCACATTTTGATAGAAATATTACAGATTAGACAAATAATGCATGGCAACTATAAATAGACAGCATCCAATTTCTTACATACAGAGGTGTATACATAACAGTTCTCTTGGTTACCTCTTCAATATATTTGAATTGAATTGAATTGAATATCTTTATTCCCTCCAACATGTGAAATTTGATTCAACAAAATATGATTATAGAAATATAGAAAATGAAACAACTATGTACAAGGAATGGTTTGGCCCATAGCAATGTAATTATTGTTAAAGTGAGAAATGTGAATTAACACTACAGGCGCTGCTACCAATGTAGAAGTGCAGGCTTTAATACGCATATTGTGTTTGCAGACTCAGTCATAAGTGAAGTTCAGTTCTCGAGACTTATTTCCGATGCCATAATTTCTCCTCCAAGTAAAACATTCATAAATCGGCCATCATTATTTTACCCCTATGCAGAAGTCATGTTTCACCGATTGATTTCTGTTGTTAAACATAATAACGGCACTCTTGGTAACGTTATATTTTAGTTGTCCATTGAAGGCGTATGTTCGTGACGCTTCAAGCGGATCTTGTAGGCTGGATTTAGTTAGTTCATCAGCTAGTAAAATCCCAGGATTATGCATGCTCAAAATGTTAACACCACACTTTATCTCACATAAAATCTTCATCAATTCATCTACATATAATTCAAACATAAAAGTGCTGAGAATTTTCCACTGGCCTACCTCGCGCGAGATTTTCATGTAATTACTGAGTTAGCTCTTCAATCAGATACATACTTTAGTGTTCACATAAGAATTGAAGGTAAGTTTCCAAATTTTCCCTCGAATACCACGCTCATAAAGTTTATAAAAAAGACCATTTCACCATATGATGTCAAAAGCTTTCTCGCTATCAAGGAAAGGAATGTAAAGCAGTGACTTCCATTCCAGTGAAAAAATACACAACCTCTTTGTCACTAAAAATAGCTAGAATCGCACCCATCTCTTTCCTAAAACCGAACTGCAGGGTTACAGGTTCGAGATTGTATCTCATTTCCTTATATTGTTCCAACTGCGTTTTCAATCGCCCAATTTCAATATTTTTCTCCTCAAGGATACATTTCATATTTTTCAAGTCAGCGTTCATTGATTTTTCTATACTATTCCGACGGGCTGTGATACTGTCATTGTTTGCCTGGATTATCTGCTTTAATTCCATCACATTCGTAATAAAAACACGATTTGGATCATCAGCGATTTCGTGATTTTTGTCTTTTAGCCGTATAGCAATATGGTCAATCGCGCTAAATTAATTTCTGTTTCGATGTTGGCCATCGCTTGGCTTAGGACTGGTAACGCATACGATGGAGACGTCCATACCGCCTAGATGAAGCGCTCCGTAATCCATGTTGACTCATTACACTTTTTGTAGGACCTTTTCACTGATGTTGCCTTGAATATATTCATATAAATGATATATTTCACTTGCATACTTTTGGCATGAGGACTGGTTTTCGGATCTACACACACGTTTAGACAGAAAACCGTCGTAAATACTCTATTTCATATTCACTAGCGTTTTTCCTCATTATTAAAATATGCCACAATATTGCTTTTAAATATAGATTTGCCATGGCTGTTAGCACTATCGTCCGTTACGCACGGCTACACAAACGCACTCAATGCAAGTACACCTTTCCTTAACAATTGCCAAAATATCACATCAAAGTCAACTTTCTGGTTTTTTCCATTGTAATAAACGTTCAAGCGTCATTTAAAGGGACAGGTAAATTACATGTGTAAGCCTTTGTTACAGACGTAATGTGAGACAAGTCAAATATACCATACAATAAGGACATCTCAAACGCCGGTTATCTTCAAATATCATCTACATATTTTAAATATCAAACATGCAAAAATACAAACTGCTTAATAGCTTGCATTCTTGACAAAAAACACCAAAGCTTCAAACACTTCAAGCGGATCACTGTTGAATGGTCCATCCACCGTAAAATCACTGTATAAACGTTCACAGCATTTCATAACACTACCTGTACACGACCAAGACACATATTTAGGAAGGAGAGGCATATTTAATAGACAAGGTAATTTTCTGTTGTTGCTAATACGTTGAAAACTAGCAATTTATAAAGCTTTTTAACATTGTAAATATGTATTTGCTATCAAATTAATCCATTATCAGAATATTTTAAGTACAACTTATATAATTGATACCAGAAAAATTTGATCGAAACTACGAATCATGTGATGTTTTTGTTGTTATGGCCAAAATGGCTGCCGTAACACAGTGCCTCTAATAAAACTGGGGGATTGATACTCTTTTTTCTTATAGAAAGAAATATTGAGAAAAACAAACACATTTTGACAGAAATATCTGAGATTAGACTAATAATGCATGGCTACTAAAATAAGATACCCATATAAATAGACAACATCCAGCTCCTTTAAATACAAAGATGTATACATAGCATCGCTATTGGTTACCGCTCCAATAAACAGAACGTACTTTGTCAACAGAGACATGTCGTTTGGCTGGTGGAATACGAATTACAGTCACTGAAGGTGTTCCTTTTGTTAAAAAGATAAATACATAGAAAATTTAGATTTGGTATATGACTATGCAACACTCGATACCCCATTTAACTAATGCATCATAGACATCGTGACCTCAGCGATTTAGTCAAAACTTAGTATAGTTCGTATTAATACTTTAATGAATCGATGTACATGAAGCAACATATACAACCACACTAAGGAATATCTGGGTCCAAAAGACTCGTTTCCCCGATGTATTAATACAGTTAATTCATTTTTTTTCTTTTTATTCAGATAACTGACAGTTGACACTGAAATGGCGTTTCTGAAATGGGAGGATTATGCTATCATTGCCGTAGCAGTGATGACGTCACTTGGAGTTGGTCTGTATCAGTCTTTGAAAGGAAGAAAACACAAGACAACTTCCCAGTATTTATTGGGCAGTGGACAAATGGCCGCTATCCCAGTGGCAATATCGCTAGTAGTTTCCTATGAATCAGGCATCACGATGTTGGGTGTTCCGGCGGAAGTGTACATGTATGGTATGCAGTGGTATATGGCAAACTTTGGTTACTTCTTTGCTGACCTTTTGAATCGACATCTTTTGGTGCCTACACTGAAGAGATTGGAGGTTACAAGTATATTTGAGGTACTTTTCATGATTACTTCATCAGTTAAGCATCAGCCGATAAATTGCCTCCCCTAAATACTTTGATATTGTTATTACAAAGATTTCAAAATGTAATAATGTCCTCCCTAGTTCATCTGCAAAATTATTTCATGGGACAAAAGGAAAGATTTGTATTGATTTTTCAAGCAAAATGTTTGATATTTGAAATTCATAATATCGTTTTTGTTTACATCGTTATCGTGACGTCACTCGCGTGGATTCATTATGATTTACATGGTTGGTGCCTTTTAATATTCTAAGGGTCGCCATGTTAATCTTTCTTTTGTTCTTATCTTCTTATGTTGACATGTCATTATTAAATTTGTTGTTTATTAAGGTAAACAGTGTAGATTTGATATCATATCTATAAAAATCACGAATTGTTTTGTTTGTAGTGTATCTCATATAATCAACAATCTTGAAAACTTCGTTCAATTATTTAAGAATGAAACTTATTCCCCCATCACGGAAAAGAGCAAGTTAGATGATACGCGTTTATGAAATACATATATTTCCTGTCTTTTTGAAACAACCATACGTCATCCAGTCTACGTCATTGTAAAAAACAGTTCATACCCTTACAAACTGATCAATGTGGAAATACAAGTAAACAAAGGTAATGGTATATCCATGAAGCGCTGTATTTGTATGGTGTTACGACACCTCCCGAATAACATTATGCAAAATACACACACATCAAAATCATCTTTCAAACACATATTCAGAATTAAATACAGTGGAGCCAAGGTCTGAATTGGTAACACCTACACAGCAAATGCGGAAAATCAGAATCTGTCGAAATCAATCTTAAAAAAGTGACACAATGCAAATGAGGATAAGTACAAAGCAGGATGATTCTGCTGAAAGAAATGCTTCCGACACTATTTTCCATTTTCTGAGGTAGGCAAATACGACAAATTTAAATGGTCATACAGATTTCGTTAATACCGCGACATTTGGGTGGATAATAATAAATCGGGATATTGTCGCCGACGTTTGACCAATATGTCTACTTCATCCTGTCACAATGGGCGATCTTTCTGATAAATACGGAAATAAAAACCTGCTTTAGTTTTGTTTACTATGATTCTTATATTCGGTCAAATGTATTTTGTTTGTGTTTGCAATTCCTTCAAATAATCAAATGGCGGTCCAATTTCCAACTGTTATTGGAAGCGATTTTGAAATGAAAATGCAATTTTAAAGCCCTTCTGAGGGATATGTCAGCGATTAGAACTTGAACTTTGAGAAAGTAATTTGCTCAATACAAATGTTTTCCTTTTTTGAGTAGATCTAATTACAGCAAAACCCCACTTACTCGAACCCGCATTCCACGAATACCCTGTATTCGTCGAACTGCCCGCTCGGTCCCTACCGTTTCCTTATATATTCTATGTTATAAAACCCCGGATTTCTCGAACCGCTATTCGTCGAATACCCCCTTTTCGTCGAACTCATATTTATCCCCGTACCCTAATATTACCATAGTATATTCCAATGTTTTCCTCGAACATGTAATCCACCTGTGTCACACTTGACAGGTGTCCGACATGACAGCAGCCAATTAAGGGATTAACGACAGGTTTACCTACCTGTGCTGATACTTCACACCTTATGCAGTAATTTGATCATTACCTTTCTAGTACACACGTGGTTTAGCTTGACTTAAAAAATTGAATGATATTGTAACATTATACCGAAAGCTTTTTTTAATCAGTAAAACCAAATTACGAAATGACACACTAATAACGGAACGATTTTCTACTGATGTATCGTTGTAACGAATTTTTCCCCAAGGGGCATTTATACACTTTTATGTATCTGCACACTACGACAAGAAACGACACAACAATGAGTATGAATGAAAAAGGCCACCCTTACAGAGAGGGTGACTTTGTATTTATTTATGAAATTAAAAACATATCTTACAGTTATAAAAACCGTAAAATGAACAAAAGATTATTTTTTAGTAATTATAATAAAAAGCCAATGTGGGGTTAACAAAAAAACCGCCACAATTGCTGATAATAAATAACGTTACTATATAACAGATGATAGGGTGGAAGTGGGTGGGTAAATTTTGCATAACAAATGCAAATCCACTCCACTAATTGAACTACGTATTGATACAAATAAAGATGGCTGCGTTATGAGAGGGGTCTCAGCATCCGCGCGAAAGTAACTGACCAATCAGATGACCGATGACCCTCTAATTCAAGGGACATAACTCTTAGTTATTTTTGGAAAGAAAATCAAGGGGAATAACTCGTATATATATTGAACAAAAATTTTGACAATAAAAATATCTTGTATAGTGTTTCCGATACATAAATTAAGCTAATGCCTTAGCTGCCTTTTATGTATCTGCACACTACGACAAGAAACGACACAACAATGAGTATGAATGAAAAAGGCCACCCTTACAGAGAGGGTGACTTTGTATTTATTTATGAAATTAAAAACATGTCTTACAGTTACAAAAACCGTAAAATGAACAAAAGATTATTTTTTAGTAATTATAAAAAGCCAATGTGGGGTTAACAAAAAAACCGCCACAAAGACATGACAAAATGTCTTCCCTACAAAGGCGACCTATGAATATTAAAGTTGTGGAAATACAAGGCTGGAAACCCATACAAAACTACCCAAGCCACATAGTTATCTTTTGATTGAATATACACATTGGCAACAAACAAAAACAATGGACCTGGCCCAAGCAAGATCCAACAAGATTCTTATTAGTATACCAAAATGAACTTAATCCGATGAATGTGAAGACACTTGATCTACATCTACCAGACCAAACTGGTTGATGCTTCACATTTACAAAGAATTTACTAAACTAAACATTGCATATGAAAATGAAAAGAAAAAATACCAATAGACAATAGTTAAAAATTGTTAACAGAGACCGCAAGGTCTGAAACTATCTATCTTCAGCATCAAAATGATGCATAAGGGCACAACGAACATGACCGACTAACAGGAACCTGAGCCAGAGGGCTAATGGCCATAAATCGGTGTGACAAAACTTGCCCAAGCAAGCTCTGTTAAAACATGCATAATCAAAACATATAGCTGCAAAAAGAAAAGCTCTGAAAAAATATGCACCATCAGAACAAGATACATATATACACATTACAAGTTAAATAAGATGATTGCAAAATAAACGGCCGCAAAGGCAGTGCACAACAAGTGCACCACACAGTCCATAACACACCACGGCAAAAGTTATAAATGTGAGCACCTCAAATATCAGGTGACAGAACTGGCCCAAGCAAGCTCTGACAACTAAAATTGTGTCCGGAATATAAAACAATAATGTCACCGTACGCAAAGTTTACCCAGCACAAAAAGAGCATCCATGTAAGAAAAGGGGTGTATCCAAAATATTGAAATGCAGCAAGTTTGTCAAACATACACTTGACATGATGTCGACTGACAGGTGGGTCCATTAAAAATAGCAGTATTTAGGCTTTAAAGAGGTACTAGCCCTATTAAACAGCTACATAAAGATAACCAAATGGCCCCAGCAATCCGGTTATGGAGCAGCTGACTTTCTGAAAGCATTTGAGGACCATCTACCACAAGAACGAAGCTGAGAGTCTGACGTGCCTCTCTGTGACCAATATGATGCTGCCCCAATACGAAAACTGTGACCTTTGTACACAGAACTGTCCAAGCCTGCGAATGCCAAACAGGACTTTAACATACGGTCAAAGCAAGCACGTGGCACAGGTTTCTGATTCAGTAGTAAAAAGACAGGACCCTCTCCCTTGCCTCTATATGTGAGGTAAGTATTAAGTGCCGTTACCGCAGAGAAGACCGCAGGGCCATGACTAAATGTAATAGCATGACGTTTCTTTTGCAGGTTATGTTTGAAATTATAAAAATCCACATGAACAGTAGGTGGAGTCTGTAATCTTGAGAATGTAAAATGTTGAAACTGAACCAGATTAACAGTACTTTCTGTTGCTGCAATCTCACCAACTCGAGCAAATGTACTAAAAGCAAAAAGAAACATTGCTTGAAACAAAGCAGTTTCAAATGCATTCTGAGCAACATGCTGTAGAGCCTTAAGTATCGTGTTCAACACTTCAACCGTAATTGGTAGTCTCATATCCACTGAAGGACTTAATCTATAACAACCTGCAACTAATTTCTTCACTAAGAAAGACTCTGTAGGGTCAAAATTGTGCAGAAGCTTATGTACATATGCTCCTGCTGACAAATATGTTGAAATAGTCTTAAGTGAACATTGTTTATGATGCAGATGGGCAACAAATAGAGCAATATGACAAGGAGAGATGCAAGCACTCCCTGATGAAAAACCCTGTGTCATAGCGAACTGGTCAAAAAGGTTTCAAGCCCTAGTATAAATTGCTTTACTGGAAGGAGCTAAAGACGACGCTAAAAGTTCTTCAATGTGTTTGAAAAGGCCTGTGGAATGAACGTTTCTGGTACAAACACAGGTTCTCTCTGAGCAGATGGTGCAAGGACCCTGAAAGCTTCCATCTGCAACCGAGAAAGAGAGCCAGCCTGATCATTTTTAACACCCGGAATATGCTTTGCTCGAAAGTTAATATTAAGACGTAAGCAATGCAAAACCAACCATCGCACCATATGCAATAATGTTGGATCCTTGCTGGTTTGCTTATTTATGACAAGCACCAGAGCCTCATTATCTGTAAAGAATAAGATACTGTGTTTTTTCCACAGTGAACCCCAAACTTTCAAGGCTAGTAAAATGGGGTAAAATTCCAGATTAGAAATGTGATACACTTTCCAATCAGCAGGAAAGGAACCATTAAACCACTGCTCCTTAAAAATAGCTCCATAACCTAGAGTGCTAGCAGCATCTGTATGCAGCTGCAAGGTATCATTTGAGACAAATTGTTCTTGTATGAAAAAATTACAACCATTAAAATGAGCTAGAAAGGTTAACCACATGCTCAAATCTGCCTTGACCTCCCGCGTCAACCTGATACGGTAATGCGCAGCACCTATTGTAAGATTAATAAGTCTTCTCAAAAATGGCCTACCTGGTATCACAACAGAACATGCAAAGTTAAGGAGACCAATTAAACTCTGAAGCTCACGTAAATGGTACTTATCTCTACTTAAAAAGCTGTGAATCAGATCACAACATTTCTCCAACTTGTCACCCGGGAGTCTAGCCTGGAATGTTACCCGATACATAAATTAAGCTAATGCCTTAGCTGCCTTTTAAACAACGAGTTTGTTTTTGCATTTTTCTATGATTAGATTCACATATCTTTGTGTCCGTAATTAGGCCTATCTAAACAAACAGTACGTATAGAAAAATAGTCACTGAAGCCGACACGCCGTTACTCTCTGTGATATTAGTGATAACAAGCATTTTGACCAACCTCTGATTACTCGAATACCCTGTATTCCTCGAACTATTGACACAGGCCCGAGGAGTTCGACTTAGCGGGGCTTTACTGTATGAGATTAGTATGATCATTTGTTTTTCCTTTTTTCACGTTTTTCTTTTCTAAGTATTTTGAAGATTTATCACACATAGTTGAGAAATAACAATGACAACCGATGTAGTTAGAACTGTTGCAACGACTAAAGAACAAATCGTAAAACAGTGCATAGAGGTTAATACCAGACAATAAAAAAGACTTTTTACACACCTTGTAAATTTAGGTCCAACCGAAGTACTTGTTATGTAATAACTACCATGTTGATGCGAAAAGTGTTTTATCACTTTTTATCCAAGAGACAATCAGTAAAAATATAAAAGCGAAAACCAGATAAACAAAGAAATCATAATGTCTGAGGAGTTTTCGCCCTGTGGTACCTACAATTCAAACTGAGGGATATTTCCTTTCTGATAGACGCTTTGATAAGTTGAATATGCGAGAAACTAGGATACATAATCATCGACGACATTAAAAAGAGTGTGTGTCGATAACGAACACCAATGCTTATTTCATAGTGGATGAAACGGACTTAATAGGGCACATAGATAGAAAATATATTCATGATTATATATTTATACCAGCGGAAAAAAAGAAATCACCAAAAAGATTTCAACAGTGTTTTATCTTATTTTTAATTAACATCAGCTCAATTTATATGGTAATTGCCTCAGCAGCGTCTTTGAAAGAGATCAGATTTCACATACGTTCTCTAAACAAAGTCCAGCTCATCGTGTGTGTCCACCATTGGAATCGCTGCATGCTTGACAACACTGATGCGACAAGTGTGCTTAAAATGCTTGGAAATAACATTTAATATTTTCACAAACGCACGTGACATGTCTGGTAACGTCAACGGCTGATTTTGAAGGTGACGTCAGCGACGCAACATCTCATCCCACACGTGTTCTATATGCGACATAACAGGTAACATTTCAGGCCAGGGCAGCACATTTACATTGTTCTTGGTCAAATGGACATCACAAGGCTTCGGTCATGCCAGGTGCGGAATTCATCAGTTTCATTCAACCTTGCGATGGAGTATCAAAGACGTTTTCCAAAATTATGCTGGTTTTGTGTATTACAGGTAGTTACACTATGCTTTTACACATCTTTAGGCGAGAAACGTGTTTGCGATGGACTAATGACCGAAAAACCGTTGACAAGATAGACAAAGTAATGTACTACTTCAGCCTGACAATGTAAATGATGGAGAGGCATACACAACTTACCTGTGTAAAGTTTCAAGCTATAATCAATAAAGTAATTGAGCAATGGATGAACATTTAACACATGCACATTTTTTAATGTATGAGTGAAAAAATAAAAAATCAACATAATCATTATCCAAATTCATTTCAACAAAACTAAAGCAAAATATAAACGCGGAGACTCCTGAAAAGTACACGGAGAATAATACCAGGTGTTCCGGACGCCATGTAAACCTTGATCCATTCAAGAAAGTAATATCACAAGGTGAACATAAACGGAACCAACAGGCAAATAAACGACATCAAACACGTTCAGCTTCATATCACACAAAGAAATGAAATATTTCTCAATGAGATCACTATGACGGCTATAAAGCTTCCCCATAATTTTCATCAACCTGTATCTCTTGAAATCCTGTGTTACTGGGTTGTCCTTCAGTTTACTTTTCCTTGCACGAAAATCGTGAAAATGGAAACAGGTCTTGCAATCTAATCAACTGCGGCATGTAAACACTATAACTGATATTGTACAGCAATACAAAAAAAAAAAAAAAAAAAAACCTCTCACAATCTGAAGTTTAGATTGAAGTAGAAAATTGAGGTAGGCGGCTGATGTTGAAGAGTCTGTAGTATCCTTGAATGTCAGTTCTGATGTATATACGATAAACATGATCAATAATGTCTTGTTATTTAAAGAAAACAAATCTAATCACCAGTTATCATACATCTGATGTTTGTAAGTTATGCTGTTAGACATTACAGTTGCAAACAATAAAACAAATAAAAAATATGAAAATGTTTCTTTCATTTTTATTGCAGTATTTAGAACTACGGTACAAGTCACACGGGATCCGAATGTTTGCTACAGTGCTAAGTATCATTTCAGGGGTAGGTATTATCATTACTCTTATCCTGCTAAACCTGATAAAAAAGTCGTCTCATATCCCATACTTTTTAAGCGGAAATTTTATCTATGAGAAATAAGGCGACGATATCTGACTCTTCTGTCAAACATTTAAGTGAAATCAAACTATCTTCATATAGGATATTTAATTGCATATATTTACAGAAAGAGGTTACATGAGTGTCAATATAAGATGGAATTTATTTAACGAGTTTAATAATTTGACACGACATGAACCCTTTGAATACGGTTTTTCTGGCAAATGGAAAAACTCTCAAATTGACTTCCCTTTAAAGTAAGTTTTTATCTGCTGAGACAGTCATCAAGACGTGACTATGTTTCTTACGATTTTGGTTACATGGACGTGTGACATGGCAAAACAGACCATTTATGATAAATTATGTTTCATTTTTAACAATAATCTTACAAATAAGTTGGATTTTAGTATGCAAGATCATGTTTAGATCTGTCTGTAAACAGTGCGGGACCAAATATCTTCGCCGTCAAATATATTTAGATGGACATTTATATCAGATATGAATACCATTTCGTTAAAGTAAGAAATATCTACACTACAACTTTACATTAAGACCAACAAGTGACTTATTTATAGGTCATTCAAATCGCTTTAATATGTATAATAACCGTGATTTAATATTTTGCTATCTTTCTATCTAAACTAGAAAAAATTATAACAGAAATGTTGTTTATTGTCTAAATTCTGCCTCCGAAATTTTGTAAGAAATGAAAGTTTAAACTAAAGTTTAATAATTTTTGACGTTAACAAAACAAACAGACATAAATAATACAATAAAGGCATCACTTAAAATAATATAATGTGACGTGGGAGTTTAATGAGCCGTTTAAGGTTATAAAACACTGTAAAGGTGGTTATTTTTACTGGCCAATATGTTTTAGTAAAATTCTTTAACTATGATAACGAATACAAATTTCATGATCTGGGTCTAAAATGACATATTGGAAACACGTGTCTCATTATTTCACGGATTAACTCTTTGTGGTCACGTTAACATACCGCTAAAAGTGAAAATATTCTCGCAAAAGTAACCGACTATACGCTATTTGAATAAAAACCAAAACCGGCTATTGGAATGATAAATTCTTTTGTATTGTCAAATTAGTGGAGGATTGTTCTGCGCTCTCATTTCATAGATTTTTTTTACAAATGGTGCATAGAGTGATATTGCCTAAAACCCACCTATACATATTCATGATGAACGGCAACATTAATGTAAATTTCAAATTTTATTATTCATGATATTTCTGTAATGTATTATAAACTATAATGACAGCTAAGCACATTATATAAGCATATTTCAGACATGGTGTTTATCACTTTAATGTTTGTATGTGTGAAAATGTATGCGATCAAAGGGATGTTACCAGGCAAGAGATATCCTTAACTTGAACTTAGTTTGTATATTTGTGTAGTTTACGCGTCCTTCGAGGAAATGAATAAGGACCAAATAAAAAATATGTTTAAAATGCGCATGGTTGATCAAAATGGTTGATTCATATTCTGCCAGACTTGCGCGAAAAGTTCCCTCTCTTCAAAATGCTTGATTTTGTACATTACGCACTTGGAAAGTCGATGGATTGGGAAAAAAATATAAAAGAAATAAATGATCTTCTCCATATACTACTAATTAATGCAACACTATATCTATCACAAATACGGCTTGCTTATTCACATTTTTTCAGCTTTCATAACGAATATCAAAATAAACGTGTTTGTACTTGAATATTTTCTCAATATCATAATGCCATTTGTAAAAACAGGGTGCCGGGTGCACTGTCATTTATTATTTTTGAATTTCACTCGGTTGTGTAAATTAAGAGTTCGTCATAATTCCCCCAGAGCAATTGGATTATAAAAGGTATATCATTTAGAGTCACTAGATTCACAGGTTATAAAAAAAGTAAAGATAACATCCGCATGTGTGTTTGGACACCTGCATATCATACATCATCAATCTACTCAAAAGAAATCCAGTTCATAATTGAAAGTGTAATATTTAAGTGTCAATGGAATACATGCCATAAATAGATAAAAACTTGAATATCCAGTGCACGATGTACGTTTCCTAGTATATTTACTATAGGACTGGGTTAAATGAGTAACGTCAGAGATGTGGGTAACTCATTGGAGGCGATCACTGCTGAGTCAAAGGTGTGCATTTCAGATCTGTTACAATATCTGAGAAAGGGATTTAATTACGACGTTCGGACTTTCTTTGCCATTTATTGTGTATTACAAAGTTGTTGATTACAGCAAAACGTTTAGGGTACATTAATTAAGGAAAGAGATTTTCGTTCAGTACAACAAAGTGAGTAATTGACGAGATATTGAAAAGTTAAATCAATTCATATTTATTAGAAGGAATGTTGAAGGAACGCTAATTGATAACAACATGGTATTTTCTAGCTGATTGATGGTGGTTTATTTTACAATTCACTTGTTTTGCAGCTAAACTACCTAGGAACGGTATTATTTGTTCCTGCAGTGACACTGGAGGAGGGTAAGGATTACAACTCAAAGCGAAAATTAAGAGTAAATTGTGGTTCAAAAGAACGGATAGTTAGAACATGTATAGACACTATTTGAAATGACGGAGATGTGGCTGCAAAATGATTAATCTGTGAACAAAGTCGACAAACATGAAGATGCTTTTAAGAGTTCGTTATAAAATAGTAATACCTTTGTTGGTGAATGCATGATTTGCATAAATGATTTTCGTGTTGTAGTGGCGGAGATTCCAGATTGGGTGTCCATTGTCGGCGTTATGGTCGTAGTGGTCATTTATACTTACATTGTAAGTTTATTAATGAAACAAAACATATAATCATACCCATAATTAGTCAAAGTAATTAATTTGAATGAAAAATTCACTTCCTCTATCTGATTACATTTTGTGGTCCTCGGTCATGTTAATGGTAAAGGGGAAAAAAACAACATGACAATGTAATTGTTATTACAAACTCAAATTCCATAAACTAGGCCAAAATGTAAACAGAACAAAAATACTCGGGACTCCTGAAAATGTACAAGGAGAATCGGACCAGGATTTCTGGAACAGTGAGCGTCTTCTGCTTCATCGATGTCACTCACTATGTAAACCTTGGTCAATCCAAGAAAGTAATGTTACGGTCAACATATACAACAACGGAACCAACCAGCAAACTACCATGATACATCCACATAATTTTCATCAACCTACATCTTTTTAATCCTTGTGTTACGAGTTTGTCAGTCAGCTGACGACTTCTTGTACGAAAATCGTGATTATTGACAAATCATAATGCCTGGTACAAAAACTAAACAAACAAAACAACATCAGACATCTGAAGGGGTAGTTTACTAATGACATAACCTTCAATCCATGACAAACGTTCATTTCCGTGAAAGTTAGCAAACAATGCAAGCAAATTACCTGATTAGAGATCAATTTAATTCCTAACCGAACGTCTTGAATGTGGAGATAACACGTTAGACATTTAAAAGGGATTCATATCATCAGCACCGACAACCGCAAAGTGAAAAGTGACACCAATGCATCACGTTCACGTTTCGCCAATTTTCTGGCACAGTCATCAACAGAAAGGCTTCTGTATGCGTATATCCAGTGAACCTTAGAGATATTTGGTATTTCGTTTCCACAACATTACAATAAACAGTTTTACATCCGATTAGATTTCGGCCGTAATCATTCAACATTAAAAATTATACTTTATGATAATTTTATATTCCGTCTTTCATCGAATTTGTTAAAGTTATTGTCGAGAAATTTCTAATAATGTTTTTATGAACACGGAAATTGATTGAGAAGATATATGATATGATATATTGGGATATATTTCAAGTGTGGTGTCAGTAACAATGGATCATGGGAAGTATTATTGTCCTGATCGAAAGATAACTGATAAAACATGTGAGAATGATAAAAGCAGAAGCAGGGACAATCTAGTAGTAATCATTTCATCCTGATTTGAATGGACTAAAATTATTTGCAAGAGAATAAAATATTTGTACTTTTCTAGGGGGGATTTCAAGCCGTGGTGTGGTCGGACGTTGTTCAAGCGATTTTGATGTTTGGTGGAATATTTGTACTGCTAATCAAGGTAATATTACATATTAGATTTATTGAAGTCATTATTTGAATACATGACGATGCCTATTTAATATGTTTCATTGCAAATGGTGTTTAATTCATAGAACAACGTCAAAGTAAAATCATATATACGATTATCGAATTTAAAAACTTAAACTAGGGCAAGTGGAGGTCTTAAAATATTATTTATAACATGTAATGTCTGTTGAATCAGGGTACCATTGATGCGGGAGGAATTGCGGCGACATGGACATCGTTTAGTGACAAAGGGCGTATGAATCTTTTCAAGTATGACATTATCATTTCAACACATTCACAAATCTTGACGTCGTTTCACGATAAAACTTCAGTTAAGGCGTCTTTATCCATGCGAAATATCACAAGTAGAAGTTTGTGCTTTTGTTTGTTAAAGGATGTTGGTTGATTGGTTGAGAATCATGACGATAATATTCCAAATGACATGCATATGTGGGACATTGTTTTCCTTAATTTTGTAAAGTTCAATTCCAGATGGGGATGATAAATGAAAATTCTTGTAGTATTTTTACTCCTCATTCTTACTTTTAATTCACCATATCTTTATAATGATACCATTATTTTATGCTACAAATCTTTTATTCCCTAATCAGCTTTGATCCTGATCCAACACTTCGACAGACGTTTTGGAGCCTCGTTGTCGGGAGCACTATCTCTGGTCTAGGGGTACCACTAACACAGGTGTCATTTCTGAGAATTAAGGCTACACCAACAGTGAAATCAGCAAAGAGGTGTGTTGGAAAAGAGGTCGTCCAATTAATATATTTTCTATCAACTTATTTAAATACATTCTTTAGGTTGTAAAGTTTCAATATGATGTTGTAACCATGGAGCATATACCGACCATGCTATACATGTAGAAACAATATGGAAAGTATAGTGTGTTAAGCTTTGTTATTAAAAAGCACTAAAACAGAAAAAAAAAAAAAAAAAAAAAACGAAACAAAAAAACAAAACAGCGTTTGGCGTGTTATAATAGGAAGCTTGTCTCAATGATCAGATTACAAATGATTTCAATTAGGATAGCTGGTCATTAACATAAAATCTGGTTTTATAGTGTGAAATATTCTTAACTGTATATGCCTTCACTGGTCTTACTTATTTATTAAATACTTAATTCAATTCCAGAAATGATTTTTAAAGTCTAATTGGATTTAGCTTTATAAAACGTCTTGTTTGCGTCAGGAATTTACCACATCCACTGTGTAGACAGAAAAAGTCATGGCGATTGGTTTTCATACCTTAAAAATACATTTCAGCAACATTCTGGTATATGCATTTTACCTGCTATGATTGTTTAGCAACTAACAAATCTTCACGAAGATTTTATTTAAAACTGTAAATGCATCAAAAAGTGTTTTTCCCCATAAAATCACATCAGCATATTGATATGTAAGTAAATATGTAATGATTTAATAATGCAATATTTAGAGTAAAATAAATATAAATAAAAAAATAGTAGGACAAATGGCGGAACGAATAGTGTACAAACATTTGATTATATGACTTGGCTTGATTGTAAGTTTGTTGTTTTCTCTCTCAAAGCGCCAGATCCCTTCGATAAAAAAATATTTGCACTGTGAATCCTGGCAACCAGCAAAGATAAACAATCCTTGATGAAATTCGTTTTAGAAATATGAATAAAGAATAGTTCACAACTTTGTATTTGATTATTCTATTGATAACACCAACAATTATACGTTATTTACTAGTACCATGATTTCTTTCAGAATGTACCTCTTTACGGCATTTGCTTTTCTTATAACTAACCTGATCGCTGCTCTGGAAGGAGTCGTTCTGTTTGCGTACTATAACGCAAAAGGTTGTGATCCATTGGAATCAAAGGAGGTGAATAATCCGAACCAGGTAAGTTTTTGTAGATTTCAAACTGTGTATTATAGTTGAGTTACCTCAGTTCATTTTTATTTTCTTATTTATTCGTTCTTTATGGATTATACCGTAGTATGTAAAACAAAAGAAAAATTAATGTTAAAGGGGAAAGTGGCCGCAAAACCACAACAATGAATCAATGTTGATATCATTTACATGGATATAACACATTGGATATGTGAATATATCTAAATGTTGTGATCATGATTGAAAAAACCGCCTCCCCCCAAAAAAAACCTTGCAACAATAGTTATGACATAATCATATGAGAATTGTCTAAAAGGAATAGTGCGAACAGACATAAAAAAAACCCATTGCAATACAAATCTTGTATTAGAAATTAGAAACATGATATGTCAAATTGTGGATTGTGAAACGAAGTTCCTACGATGTTTGATACCTAACCGCGGCTACCATGATACAACGGGACAGAATGATATAATTGAAAAAAAAAATAAACGTTTTGTAACAAAATTTGCTACTATCCGAAAAAATACCGCTTAAAGTCATGCTATATGTCAAAGCTTAGTAATTACTGACAATTTCCTGTTGATAAGTTTCATTATCGTTAAATTATTTTCAATGTTCATTTGCTTTGAAATTATGGAAACATGTAATATTTTGTTTATATTTATCACTTTCAGTTAATTGCAAAAATGGTAGTCGACATCTTTAAGAACACCCCATGCCTCCCCGGATTGTACTTAGCAGCAATATTTAGTGCATCGTTGAGGTAGGGAAAATGTTTATGTTTGGTATATTTACAAAATATTCGTAAAGACCAGATCAAGTGAGGTCAATCGCGTCTATGAATGCTTTTGATTGACTTGTGCATTTAATGAGATAATTATAAATTATTATAAATATTCGTAGTTAGTAACAATATAATCAAGACCAGTTAAGACTTTGTCAGTTCCTCCGAATAGAAGTTATAACTCTTGTTTAAAATAATGCATTTGCTTATTGGTCAAAATATTATATCTTTATTAGTAACAAGAATATCCGATATTCTGGAGCAATACAGGCGTCAGGTATCAATAGGATATGAATATTCTGTACCTCATACTAAACAATAAAGGGGCTATTAGGTGAAGTTTGTTAAAAATTCATCCGTAAAAATGTAGTTCTATAATCCAAATGAACTTTCCTCGCCGACATATTGATACAAGCGCGTGTTTTCCGTCGGATTTTTAATTAATTATATGGGAAATCCTAATCGTCTGTTCAGATGCAAATGAGCAAGTCGCCAATGCACACTTTGACCTGTGAGCATGCGCAAATGCGTTTGAAAAAACTAAACAAATCTGGCTTCCCAGTCGAAGCGTGTTTGTAGCAAACGGGTCACGTCATCGCACACAAAAACGTAGAAAAGGCCAGTGTCAAAATGCTCACCCTCGAATAACAATAAGAGAGCAGAACGATAGATGGACAAGTTCAAGAATGAAACTTTTCCAAAGTAATGAAGACTCTCCTAGACAGTTGGTAAGTGATACGTCATCATCGCTGGTGATATTTTATGTATGTCAGACCGTGTTTGGCAGATTTAAACCATCAAATAACAATTCACCGTTTCGTCACTTGATGCCTCCATATCGCATGCATTTGTTTACAAACAATTTTCTCCCCACCAGAGGGCGCAGCGTTTCGCGCTATATTTGGATTATCGTTAGTTTTGAAGGGGGCTTTTCAAAATAATCACTTTATTTTAAAATAATTGTTAATCAATGCAATGCAATCAATGGACAGCCTCCAGAAAAAAGATATATGTCAAAAGTTTGGAAAATATTAATTACGAAACTAAAGTATGATGTATGATAGGATAAGTGTAATTAAATGACACACAATAGAACACAGTACATTTTAAATGCAACTAGATGAGAGTTGTTCAAATAGTTTTGAAATAATCGCAGTGGATTTTTCTGAAATGATTTTAAGGAAAGAAAACTTTTCCTTCTTTCGTTTTTTTGCCGTTATATTGTTGTTGAATTCAGGACCAGCTTATTAACCTAAATGGTATTAATTTCTCTTCAGCACAATGTCGTCCACAGTGAGTGGTCTTTCAACATTGTTTTGGGAGGATATAGTAAAACCCCATACAAAGTCTATGTCGAATAGAAAGTCTACAATTATCACACAGCTATCAGGTAAGACACAGCATGATTACATTCATCATCAAACACGTTGCTAATTTTGTATCTGTTGTATTTGTTTTACTTCAAGTTCATTACGATGTATTGCTGATACTTTAGCTTTGTCTTGTTCTGATGCATTGAAAAGTAAATCAGAAACCAAAGTGTTTTGTATTTGGAAGAATCTTCTGATTTTTCCTTAGGAACAACGATAATAAAATAAGTAATAAGGAAAAAAAAAAAAAAAAAAAAAAAATCCCCCATTCTGTATACAAAATGTAGTTATTTATATTTCCACCAGTCCTGGTGTTTGGAGCTATTGGTGTTGTCGTTGCCTTCCTGGTTTCCGGTCTTGAAGGCCCAATCGTACAGGTAATAACGTTCCATTTTACTTACATACAATAGAACAAATATTGAATACCCGGTGACAGTAATGATGACGGTAATGATTTACGGGTAAGATAAGAGAACATGCCCTGATACATGCACGTGAATCAAAACGTAAACATCTGTATTCACTTTGCTTTTGTTCATGGAGTGAATAGAAAAGATTATAGAAATGCGTAACATTTTATTTTATCAGCAAGCTGTTTACCTACATAAAGACAGTTAAACCGATTCAGAGAGGTAAATGATGAATATGAATAGATCATCTGAAACAGCTATCAAGCATTAATCTATGTCGAACACCGGGAAATTTTTATTTAGAATAATTCTCCTTTATCAAAGCATGAAGATTGGATGATAACGGTTCATTGACATAGCGACATAGTGTAAATGATTCAGTGGTATTTAACGTTATGTTGAAAAATATTCCAGCAGAGCTAAATTCAACTACGTGTCCTTTAAAAATAAATATACAAAAATGGAGGACAATTCAGAAGATAAGGAAAAAAACTTTCATCAAAAGTGTTACTTTTAATTGAGTGTGGTGGATTCTTAGATGAGTTTTGCTTACGGGTGAAAGAACAGTTTCCATCCTATGAGACCAAATATAAATATTATTCATAACAAGAGGCCCAAGGGGCCTTAGCGGTCACCTGAAGAATATATGTCAATAATCTGGGGATTTTAAAATGTTGCAAAAATGTGACAACATTTGTGCAGGACCATGTGTGAAACATCTGTACAAAGTTTGAACATGACCCACCCAATGTTTCTTGAGAGAAAGTCCATAATGTCTTAGCCAAACAGAGGCCAGGGTGGCCATCTTGGATTTTGAATCGCCCCAAAAAGTGAAAACACTTGCCAGGATCATGTGTAGAACATTCGTATCAAGTTTCCCCTTTTCCCCCCTCCTGGGGCCCCTATTAGGGTCACGCCCTTTTTCTTCACAAACCTGAAGCGGCCTCCAATGGGGATACTTTGTGCCAAGTTTGGTCAAAATCCATCTACTGGTTCTTGAGAAGTCGTCATTTAATGAAGGTTTTTACATATGGCCCCTTTTACACCCCTTATCGGCCCCAAAGAGGACATAGTCACTTTTGTCAACATAATTTCATATGTCCTTCACTAAGAGATGCTTTCTACCAAATTTGGTTGAAAACGGTCAAAGTTGAATTTTGACCCGTTTTAGCGCCCCCTAGTGGTGCTGTTTTTGACCCAATTTTTTTTTCATTCGCAAACTTTGTAGACCTTACCATAAGGACCCTAAATATCAAATATGAACTTAATCTGACTGTTGGTTCAGGAGAAGAAGATTTTTAAAGATTTACCTAATTTTACTCCCTTTCCCCACCCCCCCCCCCTGAGGCCCCTATTGGGGCCACGCCCTTTTTCTTCACAAACTTGAAGTGGCTTCCTATTGGGATGCTTTGTGCCAAGTTTGGTCAAAATCTATTCCGTGGTTCTTGAGAAGAAGTCGAATATGTGAAAAGTTAAAGACGCACGACGCACGGCGCACGACGCACGACGACAGGCGACCTAAGAAAGAATATTCTGCCCATTAAATTTCATCCAACTGTCATTGATACCAGCTTGTATTCGCCGTCCTGTGTATTTTGTGTGCTGTCGTTACTTATTGTTATTTGGATGGTGTTAAGTATGAGACTTGGTTTACTACTTTCAGATATTCCGAACTACAAGTTCCTGTTTAAGAGGAGCAATTATCGGTATATTTCTGCTTGGACTGTTTTGTCCACGAGCAAACTCATTGGTAAGATATTCAGTTACACTAATTAGAAACCCGTCTGTTAAATTCAACTTCTTTTTTTAAGATATTAATTTGAGTAAGGCATCGATAAATTTCTACTTCGTAGGTAAGATACTGATTGCAGTAACAAGTTTATAATTGATAAATTATCATTGACTTCTGTAATCGTTATATTTCTACTTCATTGGTAAGATACCAATTTCAGTACTACAAAGTCATTGGTAATTTTCATCTTAACAAAGTCATTGGTAAGATATGTAGGTAATTGCAGGAGACATGAACACAATGGTAATGTATGATATTAATAGTTCTGACAACTTTAAAATCCTTTCAAGTGATTAACTCTTTCAATTTTCTTTTCTCCTAAACAAAATATTTGACACGCTTTGATAAATTCCAATTTCCACCTTAATTAACTTTCATATTCTTCAATATTCTTTACCTATTCAATTGTCTCAATTATAAAATCATTCTGTAATTTACCGACCTTACACTGCTAAGATGTGTATATCTCCATCTTTTTATATAATGTAATCTTCCTATCATTAAAACTGAGGCTCCAATTTGACTGCTGAAGAACATTGCGTTTGTTACAGGGAGCCATGGTTAGTGGATGTATGAGCTGTGCACTTGTTGGATGGCTTGCGATCGGACGATACATAAATGATGTAGTCAGCGTGAATACAAAACTTGAACCAGCTTCTATGGAAAACTGCATATTTCCAAACGTTTCTCTTATCACCAATACAAATATGTCTAGCTACATAAACAGTACAATAGCACCAAGTAATATGTCGACATTTGCATCATCGCAACTTTCCGATATTACCACCTCGTCAGGACCGTACGTAACTTTAGAAGTATTTTCTACAGCTGATCTCATTCTCCTCGTAATTGTTCATTGAATTCCAAGTTTATAGGTCATCTGACCAATAGCCATCGTGTTTGTCGGTTGTCTTGCTTTGCACGTAAACTTCTTTTTACATTTACAACTTTCAAGTTAAAATGGTGGGAAACTGCCAAAAATGACCTGGAGATGGTCCTGACCAATTGTTGGTATTTTTCGATTTAGTTCGAAATCCTGAATGCCTGTCATATCTGTCATCTTAAAAACCTTTAGTATGTTCAAATGGTGCCATGGAGATTAAATTTGTCTTCCTTTCCTTCATTTTTTTTTTGATTTTGAGTTTGACTGAAGGTTAAGTTGACATGTTTGAATTTTCTGGTAGCTTTTTCTCAACAACGAAATATCACACCTATTACCAAAACATGCAGTTTTATTATTCTGGATATGAAAGAATACAGATTGATACTATCTTTCAGTTTATAACAGCACATAAAACTGTCTGGTTCCTTCCTTAAAATTGATCAAAACGTTCAATCTATCGATTTCCAAATGTGTACTGGTAATTTTTGGTTAACATTGAATACATTACAATTCGTTTTGATTTTCATACTAACAACTGATTATCCATATTTACTTTCAGAGAAGGTGTCAACATATTATATTCTATTTCCTATAAATGGCTGAGACCAATCGGTATATTTACTGTCCTCATAGCAGGATCGCTTATCAGTCGCCTTAGACGTAAGTAACTCAATATTTTCTTTGGTGCTTTCATCTCAAAATTAAAGGAGTATTATTAATTTAAGAAATCCTTTTTTTCGTGTCACTGATTTGGAAAATGTAGTATACAACTTTACACGGGGAAATTGTTGAAAATGGTATATATGGGAAAGGCAATTTTACTATATTGGCAAATTATTGTTTCTAGTGATGAGTAAATCTCGTCACGTGCTTATTAGAAATTGTTTGTGGTTTACATTTTAACCAGAGTCAGATGCTGTAGACAAAAGTCTCACTGTTCCTGTGGGTGACCTGTTGTGTAGCTGTATACCGAAATCATCCAGACGAAAATATTGTTGTGGTTCCAAATACCATTCATCTACTCAGGATGACGTAAGTTATATTAAGCTTTCATAAGCTCGCAATTAGAGTTTTCTTTTATACCAGCTTGAAATATTCCTATCAAAAATTGATAATTGATTTCTTAGCTTTGTTTCCAAATCAAAAATAATACATGAATACATTAATCTCATAATTTAATAAAATATGACTTTTGAAGAAATAACTACGATAAAAAATTGCGTGACTTAACGAGACATCATTAAAAGCTGATTCGTGCCATTTTTTGTCATTCAAAATTCGGTCATGAGTGGGCTCGTTACATCTATTTAGAGTAAAGACGCATGTTCTCCGAGAGCAAACGTGACAAGTGGTTTGTTTACATTTTTTTGTCGTAAGAGTGTTGAATCTTAAGGATTAGCGATTTATGAGAGTGCTGAGTAGAACAAGAGCAGCTTGGTTATCAATTCTGGCTATCCTGATACAACAGGTAGGGTGCTGCTGATGTTTGGTGATTCTCATCTGATTCATCATTCATTTTCGGCATCAAAGCAAAAGACAACAATCTGGATTGAAATCAACTCTTTATTTGTATGCCGGGCTCAAAATTTAAAGGCAGTATAAGGTTTTGTTTGCGCGATGTGAGATTGCATTCTGCTTTAAGTAGCAAAATGTGCAAAAATACAATTACAAAACTTGAATTTTATTTTCCCGACAAGACCATTATTTGTTAATCTCTTAATATTCGTGTATATTGTAAGATATTAAATATTGTATGCTGTTTCAATCCGTTTTTTTTAACATCATCGAATGACAGCGGTGCACACACACACTTGGTAATCACTATCAAGTGGGTGGAGGTAGATATATCTTATCGAGAAATGAGATGAAACACGTTGACAAATTAGGAAGCAGTTTTTCTTATACAAAAACAAAATTATTATTACAGTCATGTTGTGATGGAATCAACTTTATTTGCTTTTGGCATTGTAAATGACCACAGACATCAAGAGAGGGTGAAAAACAGCAAAATACAGAATAAAACAATGTGTCAAAAATTTAGGAGTTAATATAAAATGTGCAGCTTGGAATTTAACATTTTATACTAATCACACTAATCACATCTATTAACTTTGAGTGGTTTCATATACATGTATGTAAATATACTATGTAACCCCGTTACCGTAATCGGGGGCAAATAAAATTAGCATCTATGTCAACCTAATCTAAATTGTTAAACTAAATCCACTATTTGAAATTACACTTTGTTGAAAGAAACGAAATTATGATTAAATTTTCCAAGCATGTTATAGAAAATAAACGAACAGTGTATAACGGACATACCGAATGGATTTGACCTGAAGATCAATGTTTAAATCTAGGTATTAATTATCACATTACAGTGTATTACTAATAAATTGAATTAAACTGGAATCAAATATTTGAGTATAAACTGATATCAGATAGGAATGATACAATAAACTTACACGATAGTTGCCTTAAGATGTTTTGAGTATCATGAAGCATGCACGATGCAACTATGTAACAAAAGAGTGGTAAAAAGGGAGATAACTCTTAATACAACCTGAAAAGGAAGGTAGCAAGACAGCACACATGTGCAGGTGTTTCTTTCGATCATTAATGGTAAAAGTATTTTCTTCCGAATATCAGAAATATCAGATATGAAATAAGATTCACCACTTAAGATGTCGAAACGTCAATACAGAGACCAGATACAATATGGCTAATATCGTCCATTGTTTGTTATCAACTGAGTCTGACCTCGAGTTAAAGCTGTTATTTGCTGATTGACGAAATATCAGTAATCACTTCGTAGGTTTCCAAAGAATTTCACCAAATTTGTCATAACTATCTTTACAAAATAAAGAGTTTTGGAGAAGTAACACTTGTTTGAAAGGCATAAAAATGATCAAGATATTATTATAATAACAAAAACACTGAATACTGCATGTGAACGTTGATGCCAGATATCAGACTATATAAGCAAAAAAAAAAAAAAAAAAAAACAAAACAAAACAAAACAAAAGCTATGTTTCCGGTCAGTAGTAAATCTATACTTTGTAATAGGTATCTTATGTATGTTATTAAATTCAATAATATGATAGCCAATATGAGAAGGGTGGCAGTTAAATAGCGAAATAGACAAACTGATGAGTGAAATGAAAATGAAGTAGAAAAAACAACTTCTCCACCCCCAAGGAATGTTTCGCCAGTAAAAAGAGACAGACAATGAAACTGAATAGCTGTTTTTTCATAAAAACTAAACAGTCTTCTGGTGTCACAGTGTTTTACGTTAAATGTGTTTGCCGTTTTCTTATGTCATAACGATTGCTAGCTCGTCTTATATAAATGTTTCTTTGTTTCAGGTATCGCTTGATGACATTCAACTCGACCACGTCACAACTTCCAATGTGATGTAGTAACACTTATTTTACACATATGCAAGGATAATGAGATGACGTCACACAGTTCCAGTTGGATGTTGGAAATCAGTTTACTTCAAAATATGCCTATATGAAATCATTTTATTTGATATGAGATAAATGGAACTTTTCATGCCAGTTTTTCCCACTCAATGTAATGATAATGTAATGATATATTAAACATTTATTATGAGGAAAATCAGAAATATTTATTATAGTTTTCATTACTTCATTACTAGACGTGATGCCTCCGCAGGTTTCATGCCATGCTGTTCTATCCTTGTATTGATAATATGTTAAAACTAATCCATTTTCCTTAATCTGCTGGATTGACCAGCATTTTCCAATACATTTTAGTGGCCATTCACTTTCTGAGACAAGGGCGGACAACTCTTTTGAGGGTAGTATCATTTTTATGTGTCTATCTTGATCGTCCATATAAGACGGTTTAGGACAAACAATACTAGAAACGAGATTTTATCACATTGTTTAAACACTAACATAATAGTTTTCTATATTAATTTATTGTAACGTCATCGAATGTATATGTGTCGTCAAAATATAGTATCCTTGCCACCGTGTACTTTGTAAATGTGTCCTAATGGTTGAGCATGTGAAACTTTATACTGAAAGCGCTAATGTTTAGAAGACTTCATCGTTTGTGCACCTTTTTCAATATCTTAAATAAGAGAATGTGAAAACAATTTTTTATTTCTAACCACACATACGCCACCACACTCACAATCTTCCACACACACACGAACACATTCTTACACCCACCACCTCATCCATATACATACATGTATCCAATTACATATTTCATTGAGTTATTTTCGAAAGCCTCTCTATTTATATTTATATTTCAAAACATAATTGGTTCACTACAACCACGTGTCTGTCTGAAGTCGAATGGACATCTAATGAAGTACCCGATTGAATAATGCGAACATTTTTTTTGCACATCTTCTCCACCAGGTGAATATATATTTGTTTCCTTGTTGTTAACTTTGGGGAGGAGAGGTCAATATGCAGTTGCCCCCTATAGTCATTTCTCAGGTTTTTCTTTCACGCCATTACCTGAATTCTACTCTTCCTTATTGAAGGCTTACTTATCACTGACCTAACTATTGTCACATATCACATGCATATGAACTTTGAATTACGTGCGCACGGTAGAAAATTTTGTACCGGATATGAACTGGAAAACGAGGAGAGGACATGAGAATAGGGAACACTAGCAGGTGCGTGGTAACCATGGCCGGTTAACAAACGTAAATACGGGAATAACATCAACGAAAACCGCAGCTTTCGTAGAGTGCCTTACCCGTTAGAGGTTTATGCATGTTTTGTTGAATTCATGAGTAACTTTAACTATTTTATGTGCGGTAAACAGACGTAAACAATGTCATTACTAGTTCTGTTTATATAGAGTCGCTACTGTACTGTACAGGTGTATACACGTGTTAACAGGTGTGTGTTTGTTATTGTTAGCTAGTAAGGTGGTGGCTGTACATTTTTATGTTCAAGTAGTGATATTGCATAATATTTAACACTATAACAAACCTAACAGTAGTCAAGTAATTACTGTTTATAAGCTGGAATAATTATGAATAGGTATAATGAGTTGCATACAGTGGTTACATCTATTGTGGCTTATAGTATTACACGCAAAACGGATGTTGCTGTAGCGTTGCTAGTAATGACATGTTCTTGTAAGATGTTTACTGCAATGTATTGAGAATAATAGGCCATACGTTTGTGATTAGTGTATGTCAATTATATTGTAGTTTGACTCGATATTGTTGGTGCCGATGTGGTCTCATATTGACGTTTCCGTAGTGTTACGGACCTGTGGCCAATGCTATTGACCGGTGATGTATACCAGGGTCCATGCAGTCCTCCAACTGGGGATGGTTATTTGGTATGATCGTCCAGTCCTCGAGTCTGTTGACGTAGGATTCGTCCTCGGCCAGGGAGGGTTAAGGTTGTGGAGTACCTTGAGTAGCTATAGTAGTTAGGGACTCAGTACACTGAAAGTGGAATTCAGCCTGCTAGTAGGTGTGTGGACATTTGACCGTCAGTGTGCACCATTGTGGATTACTGCCTACTTGTGATTTGGAGACATTAGTGTTTGTTGTTAGACTGTTGTATAGAAAGTGTGGACCACATCCCATCTTTACAAATGTTATTATTATTTTATTGTGTTCTATCAATGGAGTGAAAGAGTGAGAGATTCTGGTGTTAAGTGACTTAAGACCATTTTATATCATTGTAAATAAATACATGTATACTAAAAACAGTTGACAGTGATATGTTATCTAAATTAAGCAAAACAAGTCTTCCCGTTACAATGTTGTATACTGTAAATTGAGTCAATCTCAAACACAGTTTTATTTCAATCACAGCAATGGGAAAGCTATTTTTATGGACATATAGAAAATGGATGTACACAAAGTTTTCCTCAACACTTTGTCTATAAAGTCATGCTACACACATCATTATATCATATGTTATACAGAGAGAATTTGAAGTGTCACATAGGTAAATGTTGAAACTTGTGACTTTCGATACATTTACCTGTACGAATAATGATATATTTGTCAAGTACAATAACGAGACTCATGCTTTACATATTGAGTCTTACAGATAAAGTTTTATTTTCAATCACAGTTACGGGCATGTTATTTTTAAAGCCCCAATATACGTAACATTCACCAAAAATTTAATGTAGAATCACACATAATTATTGATATATTCTCTAAGATATAGTTAGAATTAAGTTATTCAAACAATAGTTACCATGACTTTGTGCATAAAGTATTGATATATGAGCAGTTGAAACTCGCTATTTGTAAACACACCTCCATTTTAAACAGCCTCCATCGAAATTACGATTGTTGCCGAACCACGTCGGAAAGTTCATGACCTGATCTCGCGAGAGTTGAGGTTTCTACTTGTAGAGGACGCATGTTTGCGAAGTCTTGTCGTAGACTTGAAGTATTCCTGTGATAAACATTCAGTTTTTGGGAAATTATTAGAAGGAATAATTAGTTTAGAAACGATACGACGTACAATTATAATGTAAAAATTCAGAACTGGCCTGATGTATGATTGGAAAAAAAGGAAGCGACTGGTGAACGTCTGTACTGTGTCTGCCATGTTTACACACGCGGAATATGCGCATGTGCAATGTCATCGCTACGAGCGGTAATGTATGAATTATTGTGGGTCCCACATAGTTAAATTGAAAACAGTCAGTTTTATTTTCTTAATTCATGGAAAGTATTTGTTTTGATACATATATTACGGGGAAAATAAGATAAAGTTTGTTTTTTTATAGTGATTTTTTCGTATATTGGGGCTTTAATGACGTAAAGAGAAAGGAGGATAAAGTCAGGATACATATAACATAAATTAAAGCGTATGTAAATCAATACAAACATTTAACAAGTATCAAGATAGTGCGATATATAACACAAACGTTAAATTCCCTGCTACAATCATCATTAGAAAGAACACTAAACAAAATTTGTCAATCAGTCTGCCGAAGTCTTTCATAAGAATATCTCCTACGTTTTTGTCTTTATTCAAATCTCTGTGATTTTCGGGTAACACGGGAGGAAGCGAATCGGTGGTACTTACAGTATCAGCAGATTTGTTGTCGAGTGCCACCTGGTGGTCATCTTCTTTTTGTCTTCTTCGTCTTCCACAAAGGAAAAAAATGAGATATACGGCTTTGATTAATCGCTGAAGGCAACCGTAAAGAATCTCATTTTCGTCTTCCGCCAAATGGAATCTAAGTCCAATTACAGTGAAGAAGAGAATAAGTGCACTGTAGGTGACATTACAGATAAGGTACCGGGTGAAGATCGACACTGGATTTGTGACAGGGAGTTTCTCTGATATCAACGTCATGTACACAGAAAACGAGAGAAACATGGTGACGGAGAAGGACACTCTCTCCCCGGACTGTGGGGGTAGAAGGAATACTGTTATATTGAGCAAGCACAGGAGGACAACTGGTGCCAGTAGATTAAAGATAACAAATTCCGGTTTTCTTTTGAACTCAATTCCGAATACCAGCCGGCTGTAATCTCTTGTATCGTCATTATAGCTGTAGAAATTAGTAGCCTCCCATTGGGAAACCACTATTAATTTAGAAACATCGGTCAGAATGAATGGTATTAAGGCAATCTCATGAATTAGATAATCAGGTGTATAAATTATTATGGTGCAATTATGGCGATCAAACGGATATAAACGCATGTCAGGTTGACAAATTGTGCTCGTCCTTATCGCTACCGCAAAGAAATGGTTGCCTTTAGGAGTACAACGAATGGTTCCGTGTTCGTATTCCTTCCTGATATCAGTACTTCCAGTCGGGTTATCGAAAGCAAGTACCGGAATCCATATATTTGCACTGTTAAGAATGATGTAAGATGTATTGTATAAAGATTGATCCCATTTCATCATTTCATTGACCCACGCAGTTGTAAATCTGGAGCTTGTTACGAACTCTCCTGTGACCTCATTGAAGGCATTTATGCTGTGTAGTTCCCAGAAAACAGATATCACTACTTGTCTTCCTTGATTATGTATGGGGCGAAAATCTTTGCTGTAGTTTTGTAGCAATAAATGCTGTAACTCGGTAACAGATTCATAGGAGATGTCAACAACATGACTCTTTTTCTCGTCACAATTTACATGAAAGCACATAAAACAGGCAAATATGAACAGAAAGGTCCACGCATTCATAGTGTGATGCCTACGTTCGTTGTTGTTTGTCACCATTGCTGACACGTCTCTATTACTCACTCGATGGATAACTTCAAAATAACGGATTATGTGCACATACAGTGTATTTGATTTTTGACAATTTTTTTGTAAATGATAAAGAGGGCGCTTTTAAGCTCTACCACGCAGAACAAATATCAATAATGCCATTCAACAAACTATATCTATAAGGAAATATCGTTAATGTTGTTGGGTTATTCCGT